CCATAGGAGTACTCCAGTATCTGCAGTGGATCAGCATTTGAAGGAAAGAGATCAGGTGTTGGAAGAGCTCAAGAGGCATTTACTCAGAGCCCAACAGATTATGAAGAAGCAAGCGGACAGCAAAAGGAGGGATATACAGTTTGGAGTTGGGGACAAGGTCTATTTGAAGCTCCGACCATACCGACAGAGGACTATGGCCCAAAGGAGAAATGAGAAGCTCGCAGCGAGATATTTTGGCCCTTTTGAAGTGGAGGAGAAAATCGGGGAGGTGGCATATAGATTGAGGCTTCCTCCAACAGCCAGAATACACCCCGTTTTTTATGTCTCACAGTTGAGGAAAGTGGTAGGGGAGCATGCAGTAAGCCCAGAGCTGCCCAACACATTGAGGGAGGACATGGAAGTGACACTGGAGCCTATAGCGGTAAAAGGAGTGTGCATCAATGAGAAGGGGGAAAAGGAAGTAAAGATTAGGTGGAGCGGCCTCCCAGACTATGAGGCCACATGGGAGCCACTGGAGAGGATTGCAGAGCAGTTTCCTGCCTTCCACCTTGAGGACAAGGTGGTACTTTGGGAGGGGGGTAATGTTATGCCGGTCCAGCCTGGACCGGCCCAACCTGGACCGGCCCAGCCGGCCTGGGTCTTCTCCAGGCGGAAACGGAACAGAGGGGAGGCGGAAGAGGGAAAGGGCCAAGGGGTGGGGTCCACTTGCAATTCAAACATGGTTTAAGTGTTTTTGGAGGGAGGAGGGGTAGAGAAGTCCTTTTGCTTTTAATTTGAATTAGATTGTACTAATAGGGAGTTATGGGGGATTAGGTTTTCATCTTGATTTTGAAAAGAGTTTTGTGTTCTAGGTTTTCTTGCTTGGGCTCTTGGCGTTGCCGGAGATTGTTGGAGAGTTGTTCTTCCTCTCGAATTGAAGAACATTGTATCTTGCTTTGGTTTTGATCATTACTAAGGGAATACAATTGTTTGCTATTGTTTTTCCAAAGTTTTCTCTCTTTTCTCTCAGCTTTTCCATTATTGGCGGTTGTTTTCTATTGAAAACAGTGAAATATTGGTGAATTAGCGAAGATTCGATAGGAATCGCTTGGAATATTCAAATGGTACCTATCAAGTGAGACACATAATTGATGTGATCATGGTCATACAATTCAGTTTAACCCAATAAACCTTTTGTAGTAGTTTGTAGTTAAAATTATTCAAAGACTTTTATTAAGCTGATTAGAGACATGCTAGGTGACCATTAGCTTTAAAAACTTAGTTTGCATAGCATCATATACGACTTTTGATCTTAATGTATTGTGGCTCTAGAATGATTTTGATTTCATGTTTTCCTATGCATTTCTTTGGCTGTATTTTTTTTTTTTTAAATTTGACATCACGATTTTATTTTGCATGACTCATATGTGGTCAAATATTTTCATATGTATGATTATTTAATTCAAGAAAGGTTGTTTTATTTATCCCCTTTCTAGCAAACTTTATATGATTATCTCTTCCATAGCTATTAGCAAACTAGGTTGCTACATAAGGTTCTACTCAAAACAGCTGAACTTGATACCAGCTTATACCATAAAAAGAAAGTGGAGTAGAGTATCACACTCCTGTCAAGAAAGAAAAAGTTGACTAGCTTTGTCTCTATCCATGACCCCACATCAGACCAGTAGGTTCTGATAAGAAAGAAACTCATAAGACATTTCAGTACCACACATGCCAGTCCCAATTCTTCAAAAAGCCCCACAAAAGGGTTCAAAGATGATTTAAATTTTTATGTAATTTAAAAGGTAGGAACCATCTACTAATTGTAATTCCCTCATTCAAACAGCCCCGCAAGCGGTTGAATAAAACTAGAAGTCATCTGCACTATAGATCAACACATCCGCACTAAAGATCAACACATCCTCGCAGTAAGAACAGACATAATCCTTTGATGTTGGAATAAGGATATTCCATGTGTAGGATGGGTATGCGATAATGTAGTCAATAGATGAATCAATTGAACTCTTAGTTGGAAAAGAAAACAATATATTCAAACAAAAAGAGGGAGAAATAACAAAAAAATGAAAATAATATCAATGCATAAAAATACACAAGAATTTGATACAAGGTCATCCAATTGAATGGCTACGTTATGTTGTAATTGCTACAGATTTTACTATGATATGATTGTGGCGAATCAAAATCCTATATTATGAGATACTATATAAAGATAATGCCACTCTCTTTATAAAGAAGAATTTTAGGGTATCATAAGTACAATAAATCCACAAAACACCCTTTATGGAGTAATGCACATATATATGATACCTTTTGCGGGCTCTGCCTCCAAACCCCAGGAGAAGGGCTCCTCGCCCCTATTCTATCACCCGCATGGAGCTTCATTGCAAAGATTAACCCAGGATAAAATCTATGTAGCATGTTTTTTCATGGTTTAAAAATTATGCTCCATAACTTTAACATTCTTATTGTATAGAAATATAATGAGAATGATGAAAAAGACATTCAAGAACATTTTTATAAGCTATAGACATAGAACCAAACTATAAATTGTAACACAATGTAACCGTCAGAATAAACTCATAAAGACCTTTCAAAAATCAAGAAACGTGCAGATAACTGAAATAAACCCTAACCAGGAGCACATAAACACACAAACTAGAAGAGCAAAGAAAACACAGTAATCAAGTGCACAAGGACAAGAGGAACATTAGTCAGATACATTAGATTGAGTAAACCTTCTCAAATTAAGGAATCATATAATCAATAAGGCAAAAGATTGCAAAATTATTTCTTTTATTACTGCCTTCCACCAATTACTATTCAAAAAAAAGGTTTTGGGTGATCTCTTACATTTTCATGATCCAAATGCTTCAGAAGCTTAATTTCCCTTAACGTTCGCTTGGAATCCATATGATTGTCAAAAGCATTCGCAATCTTCTTAATAGCAACCATCTCTCCGTTCTCGGAATTCATCACCGAGCTGCAAAAAAGAAAATAAAACATTAATAGAAGCGAACCAAGAACAAGAAATTAAGAGCTGAAAAGACTACTTCTCAATAAAAAAATACAAAGATTGAGGGCATTAAAAACCTAAACGATAGGGGAACGAGAGATTACCAAACGATCCCATAAGCCCCTCTTCCGATGGGCATAATGGGCGGGCGGTACTTGGCTGAGATCTCGAAGAGATTTCCAAATATGTTGTACTGAAGAAAACGGCCGCCGTGTGTAAGAACAGCCGGAAAATCCATCGCCGGAGCTCCGGCCATCTGCCTCGACTCAGGAGATCTCGGAGAAGATTTGGGAACGGAAAAAACTGCGGAGAGTTGTCTCGCTTGTTCGATCTATTTTATTCTTTCCTTTCAGCAAATCGAACTGGTCTTGATTTATTTTTCTATCTATATATAGATCCTAGTTCTTGAAGAAGAAGAGATGGAAAAAGACTTCGAAAAGAGAAGTTTGGTGTCGGAGAAAGAATTTATTTTTTTCCAACCGTGTTCGTATGGCGGAGAAGAGAAGGATCCGCCGGCCGCCGGTATTTCAGACGGTGGAGATGAGCGCCGCCGTATATCTACGATCAGGATTTGATAATGCGTTCAACGGTCACTGTTTTCTACTCGGTTCGACGGCGGCCGTGTACCATGGAGGTTCGGCCGTTAGCATTAACGGAAATTAAGAAAGCTTATTTGCACCAAGAAAAACACCCACGGATAACTTGGGTTTAAACGGAAGATGTCTTCTAAATCTTAGGCTTCATTTGTTTTTTCTTTGTGCTTCTGCAAAAGGCAGTTTAAAAAAATATTAGTTTTGAAAATAGAATTTTCTAACGGAGAAGCATATATAAAAAGCTTCTCAAAATTGCAGAAAAATGAAAAAATGGAGTTATTGGGAACGTGATTTGACGAACCAAACAACACAAAAAATAATAGAAAATCCTCCGTTTCCAAATGGAAAAGGCAAAAAAACGCTCAAACAAACAAAGCCTTAATCCTCTCGCCAAAAGATAAGAAATGAGGTGGCAATTAGAAACTTTGATTTTGACTGAAGTTTTATTTAAGCTTAAAATAATTAATTTTTAGTATATGTATAGACGAAGAGCTCTACATTTGTTGCGCACTAATGTATTTGTGGGCGGTAAAATGAGAATTTATCGTCCTTATGATGCACGGATTCCCAGCACACAATTAGATAGTTGAGAGAGCGAGAAAACACCATAACTTACTATATGGAAAACCCGAAAAGGGAAGAAACACGGGGCCTTGTCTAGGTGAGAAGATTATACTATACTTGAGTGAGTTACAAAGCTTAACCCGTCTCTTAATTTAGAGATAATGAAATTACAATAGTTTGGAGAGTTTGTCGAACTTCGTATTGGTACTTTGGAGCTTGTAATGACTGCAATAAGACGAAAGTCCAACGATGGTCGGTAGAAAGTTCGACAGCGGTTGATGGTTGGGCGGTGGTTCAATGATGTTTGGGTGGGAGTCCGACAACAATCGGCGATCGGATGGATGTCTGGAGATGGTTGATGGTCGAGCGGTGATTCGACGATGGTCAAATTGAAGCCCGTCTGTGGTTGGTTTTCGTGCCATGGTTTGACAACAGTCTGGAGACGATCGGCGGCCGGTCGAAGTTCGGTGGGGTCGGCGGTCTGGAAATGGTCCTACTATAGTCTGGTGGAGGTCTGACAGTGGTTGTCGGTCGGAGGTCTGGCGGTGGTCTAGCAGCTGTCAATGGATGGGCGGTGGTCTAGTGACGGTAGGCAGCCTGGCGGTGGTCCAACAACAGTCGATGGAGGTTCACCGGCGGCGGTGTCTGGATTGGCCCACCCTATAAATATGAAGAAGATCCAGAACAGGTTCAGAGTGTTCCGTCATATGGCCCATGTTGATCCCCCAAATCATAGAGCATTTTTCAAGTATTTAAGTGCCTTATTGATGCCGAAATTCAGAAATGTTGATCTCATTGGATTTGTCTCGCTGAGCTACTCGATTTGACATATAGATCATTTGGACATCAAATTAATGGATTGAACCTTCCAAATATGCTTCAATCACTTTGGTTTGAACCCATTTGGGCTCAGATTAGACCGATTTTTATGGCGTTGGGTTCGTCTCCTTTAAATGTTCAATTTGACTATAAGCTTGTAGAAATCAGAGTTTAGATGGTCCCAAATTTAATTTTGAAAGTTTTCAAATTGGATATTGATGCCTGATCAAAGCAGTTTTTTGTGAAGTATAAATACTGAAAGATTGTCATGATAGTCTTTATGTTAAAAGCATATTTGTTAGCTTATATGTGAAATCTATTTATAATTAATATTGTCTAATTTTTATTTGTAGTTTTCCTTGAGTATGATTATTACCAATTAAGCTTGTGCCTTATGTGTTTGTTAATGTAATATTTGTAATAGATTTTTATTGTATGTTAAGAAATTTATAGTAATTTTAAGGTTTTATTTTTTATGCAATTTAGAGGGTACATATCACATAGAAATTTTTTTAGATTTGAGCCCCAAAAGAGACATGCGATTTGATTTAGCTAATTAGCATAAGCCTAACTCGGGTGAGCAAATGCTAAGTGTAATGATCTTTTGCTTAGAAGTACATCTAGTGATCATAATCTTTTTAAGCGCCCCCATTGCTCGAATAGATAACCTTAGCCCATAATGCTTAACATTTGCTTCAATTTGGAGCTAGCAACACTTGTTTTACAGAACAAATTGCCAAAATAGCTAACTAATTAATTGTCATATTCTTCACCTTCACCCTAGTCATCATTGTTTAAAGTTTGCTTTAATTATATTAGTGCTTTACTTGGATATACCTTGAGGACTTCTTTCAAAGAATTCAACCTTTTTTTGCAACTTTCATTGTTGAAGTTGCCTTCTTGACATATTTCATGAACTTGATCAATCATATCACCCATACTCAAGGGCGGAGCCAAGATTTTTGTGATGAGGGTGCACAAATCATTGTTATAATGCAATAGTAAAAAATGAAGGCCTCACGGATATTTAAAAAAGGTGACTATATGTTGAAAAGATTACACTTTGTTTTTTGTAATGCAAATGTGGAATCCATATTCCTCTTTGTATTAAACAACTTTTAAAGCATTGAAAAATAAAAAATCCATAAACACAAAAAAGAAGTAATGATGGAAAAGTCTCCAAAGGAATTTGCAACAGCATTCTTACTTAAATGGTAATTTTCATTGTTTCCCACTAAAGAGGTAAAAATGAATCACATCCACATGGGCACAATAAATTAATCTTAAAATACATGAAGTATACATTCTTTCTAAGACAGGAAAATTCTGCTTGTCTAAAATTCCAATCGATGTAAATTCCAACCATTTGAATGAGCATATGCCTCAATTATAAAATTCTCAGTATGCATAAAAACTATGCATGCTAAACTCCAGTGACAAAAAAAAAATCTGATGACTACAAAAGAACTGTAAAATGATTCATCAAATGTCCCAAAGAGATGAGAACTAATTTTTATGCAGTTATTTAAGAGTAAAACTCAAAAGAATAGTACCTTCATTTCTCAAATAAAGTAAAGAGACAAGAACTTTACTGAGGATTAAAGTCACCGTCCTCCGTCCCATTGCAAGTCAATGAGCCGCCACGAACAAGGAAGCAGAGGTGATTCAAGAGGTAGAATAAGGATTTTGTTTCTAAGTCGGTTCTCATCGCTAGCTTGCTTCGACCTCTAGGTTTTTCCACGTGAAAGGAGGAGAAGTAGAACCTAGAGGTGTTAGAGCATTTCAAAATTTTGATTCCCCAGCCACGTGAAGCTGCTTCGATCTGTCCCCATGAAAGGAGGCGAAGTGAGCGTTTTGAATTTTTGATTCCCCAATCATGAAGCAACTTCGGTCTATCTGTGGGAATTGTACAACCCAATAAAAGCCCTAAAATATGAATTTAATTAAGAGTCATAAATTAACAAATTAATTAATGGTTATTAAGCTTTAATTATAAAGTCAGTGGGTGCCCATGCCCTTAGGACTCCCATGGTAAATCTGCCCCTGGCTATATTCTCTTAATAAAGATTATGATAACTACTTTTCCTTTATTTAAACTCAAGTTTCATAAAAAATGAGCCTAATCTCTCATAGGGATTACTTTAAACTATAAATATCTTAGTTGAAACACTTAGACATGATATTGGTTGTAAACAAAGATTGGTGGCTATTTTGTGTATATGATGTTCGCTTTTATGATTTCATTTGAAAAAGCAATTTAAGCAACCACATGGTATTTTCTGAAGCCCTTATAAAATGCCAATGGTCATAGTAGCCTAATGGATTTGATCCAAATAGTAGGGTTTATGACTCTTCAGAATTTATCCTTTATATTTAATAATATTTTTGAGCTACTAATTTAACCTTATTTTTAATTGCAATCTTTGAATCATTTGAGTTATTATGGCACTTTATTCTTATTACATGCCAAACAATGGTCTAAATATTAACAAATTCCACACAATATAAATTTGTTTAACTTTTATTACATCAATGTTACTTAAACTCATCATCCAATGCCTCATTAATATCCTTAGGTTTGATATGGTAGAGGTATGTGTAATTGTCAACCTCTTCTCTAAATGCGCTCATACTCTTAATTCCTTTAGCTCGATCTATTATAATAAGTTACTAAGGAAAAATAAAGGAATATCTCAAGTCCTAAAGTAATTCAAGTACAAGAGGAATCTCATTGGTATCTATCGTTGGATCTAAGCTTAGGTTTTGTAACCTATTAAATTCCTTTTCATTTGCATCCTTCATCTTTGATAATCCTATAACTTTTTCATTAAAAAAACATGTGAAGACTGTTTTCAATTATTAGTCTCTTCATATTAATATCCTATAACACTTAGTTTGATTTGAATATCCTTACAAAAACCTATCTAATCTCATGCCCATTTTTTTCAAACTATCTTTCCCATTTTTCAAGATCAAACATCTTTAACCAGTTACATTAAAGTGTGATATATTAGGATTCTTCTCTTTTAGAATCTCATAAGAGGTCCCCCTTAATAATAGATATGATATTTGAATGTATTATTCATAATTCTATTAGGTGAATAATTTTGAGTTTGAATTAGATGTCACATAGTGGAGGTTGTGTGATGGAATATCCTTACATAATATTTTTATTGACAAATAATGTCATGGCATTATTAACTTTAGGTGATTAAACTAGAGAATAAGAACACTTCTCTAATACCACTTAAACAAATTTGAAATTTAAGTTTTAATTTTGAAAGTTCGTTAGGGATGTTAGGCCCTATTGAACTAGTCCCAAGGCTAATAAAAAGAGAGAGGTGAATTGGAAAAAAATATCTTTCAATCAAAACACAAACCAAAAGCAATATCATCACAATAAAAACTAAAGTGCGAAAATTAAAAGCGGAAGTAAAAAAGAAAGAACACGCCAGATTTATAGTGGTTCAGTCAAACCTTGACCTACGTCCACTCCTTGGAGGCACCCTCTAAGT